CGTGTGGAACATTGCATGCAAAACAAACAAAATTTTCTCAAAGTGTAAAGTATATTATGTTTTAATAGGTTTAAAATAAATTTAGTTGCCTAGAATGGTAAATAGAAATATACCGCCATAATAAAAATGGGAGCATCCACATCAAAGCAAAATGAATGTCGCTTCGCCAGCCACCAAAAAAACTTCGCGAAGTACACACAGAAAAAACAAGTACCCATAGAAAATACAAAGTGCCCATAGAAAATACAAAGTGCCCATAGAAAATACAAAGTGCCCATAGAAAATACAAAGTGCCCATAGAAAATACAAAGTGCCCATAGAAAATACAAAGTACCCATAGAAAATACAAAGTACCCATAGAAAATACAAAGTACCCACAGAAAAAAACAAGTACCCATAGAAAATACAAAGTGGAATAAAAAATGCTAAGTGTACCTATGGGCCTTCCTAGGAAATAAATTGCGGAAGTGTTTGCTTAAGTGTGTATCGTGAAGAGACGTATGTTTTAAACACGCAAGTCAGGCTATATATAGATTTTCAGTACTGATCACATGAGGGTTAGCTCTTATGACAGTGCCAGGCAGAACAAGTATGTTCCTGTTACTATAGTATAGTGTGCCTGGTCACGACCGTACGTTCAGCTGTATTGTATAATCAATGGTTATGCCATGAGTCATAGTTGACCCAGGCCATTATCGCCTTTACGGCTCTAATTTGGTTAACTGCGTGCCTACTCAAGCCCACACAAACCAAAACATTGTTTAAGTGGGCAGAAAATGTTGTAAGTCGAAATATATGCCGTTGTCAAGGAAAAGCGTGTTTAGTGTAGACATTACCGCATTGAGTGAGTGGGCTGGCTAAGTACTGTGACATAATGTGTTCCGGGTTTAGACTTCGTGTAATTTCTCAAGCATTTGCAGACGTAAAGGATCCAAAAGGGTCTTGATGTTTTGCCAAGTTGCTAAGGAAGAAAATTTTTGTTAAAAAGAAAGCTAAACATGCATGTTCCTTGTTACTTTCAGATGTCTGTCAGCGAAGAGAAGAGGTACAAGCAAGAGAGGCGAAGAGCTCAGGAGGAAATCACCAGACTGCAGAGCCAAGTCAAAGAGGTAGGCGGCGCTTCTCACTTGATCAATTACGTTCGTAATGTACCCGTACCGTGATATTTTATTATTACCATGCCTAGAACAACAAAGCTTAAGGAAGAAAAATTAACATTGTACATCTCTTTTTTACTCATGGGACTTCTTGATCAATTGAATATTTGAATATATTCGTCAGTTTATCCAACTTTGGTAATAGTTTATAGAGTCCAATCTTTGTATTTCTATCATTTCAGCTCGTAGACATGAACACAAGATGGCAGATCTACAACGACCAAAGAGAGCAGTACGTCCAACAACTGAGAGAGAAACAGCTTCAGCTGGAAAACCGCCCAATCACACCCTCAGCGCCCGTGGCCGTACACTCGGGGCTGACCGAAGAACAACAGCGCAGAATAGACCAGACAATCCTCAACGCCAAGAGGGAGACGGAGAAGACTAAAGAGGAGGCCATGAGACTACATGACGATCTCACCGTGGCCAGGAACATCGCGTTCGAACTGCAGGCACAGATCGAACAACTGCAGATGGAGAAGGACCACTCCAGGCGGGAGATAGCGGAACTGCGCCGCCAGGGGGCGCAACTGCCGGGCGGCGACGCCCAGGAGACGATACAGATGCTTCAGCAACAGGTGGGTTGGTTTCTCATCTTGTCCCCATCCCCGTTTAGTCATTTTTTTTTCAAAGAACGCACACGAGTTAAAGTACGGTAGTGTTTCTTAAAATAATAGGGGGAACTACTGTGAAAACTGCCCAAAAAGGCTACCCATGGGACCGATAAAATCTGGTTTGTGTGGACAGGTGGTCACTAAAGACAGTATTACACCGAAGAACTTGTTACACCTAACCCTTCCAATATCTAACTCTGAACATGAATCATCTAGTGATTATGCCCCCACTGTACTTGGTAGGGCTACACTCTGTGATACCAGTAGTTCAAGGGCGAAAAACGAATTTTTGAACACCTTAATCTTTGGTTGATCACTTTGGTACTATACAGGTGGTCACTATACTATAGACAGTGGCTATTACACCGAACAACTTTTTACGCATAGACTTCGAACCTTGGTTGATAACTTTGGTACTAAATCTTCCATTCGTTTTCTCACTCAGGTCCAGGTGTGTACAGAAGACTTCCAGGCTGAGCGGCAGGACCGCGAGGCGCTACAGACCCGGCTGGAGGATCTGCTGACTGCCCAGGAGCGGGACAGACAGGTGATCACCATGCTGAGAGAACAGGTCCGCCAGCTCCAGGCCACCGGCGCCGGGTACCGGGCAGCCACACTCCCGCGTCCCTGCCAGGCAGAGTACCGCCGCAACCAGCCTGTACAACAGGTAACGTTACTTGGTTATTTCTGGTTCTTCACTGAGCGAAAGGGAGGGCAGAACACTTGTTGTTTTTGTGTGTGGAAGAGCTACCTGAAAACGTGCCCATGCACCTGTTTTGTAGCTAGGTCACCAGACCTATTTTAGCTCCGGAGTCTTTATATGCGAAATGCGGGTAGCTAAAATAGATCTGGTATCCAGGATACAAAACAGGTTACTCTTCCACACACAAAAATATCAGACAGGTTTGCCTCTCAAAAATTCGACTACAGTCTAACAAAAAGAAACAGCAACTGTCTGGATTTGGGAGTAGTGTCTAAAGCCTTTCTTATGATTAAATGGTGGATGATTCAATTTGGTATCGGGACCCGTCTACTACGGTCTCTGTTCTAGTATTGCATGGTCCTGTGTCGTGAACTCAACAATTCAATTCGATTTTGCACTAACAATCCCTTCATCCATGTCGTTCTACAGTCGATGCTGATTGCAAGGGGTCATCACCATGGTTACGACGTGATTGACGGCGGCATGCAGGACGACGACGACTTGACGACGGACGGCGTCGGCAGCGACTCTGACGACAGCGCAGCGAGGAGAGAACACATGCTTTACTGTCCCCGCTGCAAGCGCGAATACAGCAAGGACAAACATGACCTGCTACTGGAACACATAGACGTCTGCTGTAGCTAAAATACTAAACACGTAACGTTAGTTGTCATAGCAACGGAATCATGAAGCCGCAAAATGTCTTTATAGCACCTGTTACTGTCGTAAAAAGAGGGTGTGTCCCGGTATGGACTCTTTGGTTGTCCATCGTTGTCGATGAAGACTTCATAAAACTTGTAACTGTCACTAAATGGGGCATGTATACATTGTAATCTCTGTAGTATTTAAACTTAGAGTTCATGTTGGAGTTTGTAGGATATTGTTGACGATGTATATGTAATAAGCTAGCCGGAGTGACTGCAAATGGAGAGGACCATTCAGCTAGGCTGCAAATACTAGTAGTGGAACAGCGTGTGTGATAGGGAACCGTTAGCTGTAACGCAACTTAAATTCAGCGCCAAAAGCAATCAGAATGTACTACTAAGTTGAGGATTCCTTTTTATATCAACTCTCAAACGGGTCAGATAATACAAATAATGAATGCATGAAAAAAACGGATGCAATGACTTTTACAAAAACACCAATCCTAGGGAATATCAAATTTTTATATGAATGATAGATGAGACTAGATTTCAGTAACACTTTAAGAATCGTGTATATATCTGAAGCGACCTCAACAAAATAACAAACACATGTTGCAAATATTGTTACTAGTACTTTTTATCTACCATTTGTTTATCACTTTGAAAACTTTTGTACCGTAATTACTAGTAGTATAAACAAAAGATTGTACATATCTTTAACATCTTAGATCTGATGACTTCTTTGTGTAGCTTGTAACGTTATTTATTTGTACTACTGATGTCTTTCTACTTGTGTTTAAGACTATAGAAAACGTGGTATTTTGTCATGTATTTATCCACGTGTCGAACAATCAACTCTTCTCTTCACGGTACGCACAAGTAAATGCAATGTCATTGTTTTGAAATAAATGTTACTTTTCTACTATTCGGATGAAACATGATTGTGTGATGCCCGTGATTTTATTTCAGTACTGTACGTTTCGAAAGAGTTTATTCGAAAAGAAGTCAATATGTGGTTTTGGCCTCCACTAGGCTCTCCTAACGCAAAAGGAACTCTACAGTGGTCAAACTCCCCTAGCTCATTATGAAATTTGACAAGAAGGCTATGTTTTCCATAATGAGGCTCATTTTCGAACGTGACCTTCCTCTTTGCGACCCTACCCATCCACTAAATATCATGCATAACCATTCGCATCTTCTCGACTTAGGCCACACCAAGTAATTTTTATGGATGACGTCCTTTGGAGACCCTAAATCTAATGCGAGAGGGCGAAAAAAAAAAACAAGAAGGGCCCTAAAAAACAAGATGCCTAGATTAGAAATATACTAAGAGACGACAAATGTTAGGACACAAATTGAATGAGGTGACACAGTGTAACAAGCAAGAAGTCTTTTATTCATCATCAAAACAGCAATAAATCAGGTGGAACAGCAGTTGTCGTCCTGTCCTGTTTCTTTCATCACATTTTTGCATGCCTGCAGAAACAAAGCATAAAATTGCGGCACTGTCGTCACTCTTTGGTCATAGTTACAGGAAGCGGAATTTCTTTTTTTTCTAGAAACAGGCCAAAATCAATGCGCGCGCGGACGTCATCCATAAAATTCACTTGGTGTGGCCTTATGTCGAAATACAAACACACATAGCTACATGCACAGCCCGCTGCAGTACCGTACGACAACGCCAGGTGAACCATCTTCAAACTTGACGTTGGTTTCCCAACCATCTACTAGAGTACTCATCTACCAAATATCATGAAGATCCATGCGTTGTTGACATACATACAGACCCAGACCACGACCGAAAACATAACCTTCTTATTGAAGATAATTATAGTTCAGACAATATAACAAAATTAGTTTTCAAGATATATTTCGTCTGTTGAGTCACCAAAATATTCCATTACAAGGTCACGTAACGTTATAACGCCACGTGAGTAGCCATATATAGCAGCCAAACTTTTCCACTGGAGTTGGAATTTAGTCAGTTTGTTGGAAACAATTTAAATCAGAATCCATCATACTGATATAAATGAAAATGAGTCATTTTCTCCAATTTGATGAAAAACCCGTTTTAGTGATCGGCCCCACCACATTATGAGTCAGAAAACGGGGTCGGAAAGACATTACATTTATTTTACATGCCGCCAACATCTGCATGAAGACACATATAAGTAACGTTAGTTATTTCATAATCTCGATTCTTTTATTTTGCATTCTTCAGGCCTTCCTACGGGGATACGGATCGTAGACTTCTGCAAAAAAGCGGAAATAATTGGCCAGGTCAGTCCACGGGAGGGTTTATTTCCTCTTTCGATTGCGAAGCTAGATCAAGCTAGGCAAACTCCCCTGGCAAAAAAAATTATTCTCCCCATTTTTGGTAAATTTTTCTGTTTTTGAACCCTCGTTGTTAACGTTAGATCTTGTTAGTCAGAGACTAGAATTAACTATACAGCAATCTTCTGCATTTGCCACGTAGCAAAACAAAATGCCCTTGAGAAAGACGCCATATTGTATTTGCATTTACGTTTGAAATGAATTGAAGAACCGATGCCAGGTTTGGTATTATAATCTCCAAGCAGAAAGCTTTCGGTGGCATCAAATTGGCCAGGCAGTATTCCATTAGCCAGAGAAGGTCACCGGCCAACGACGGGATTGGCGCCCCAAAAAAACGGCCGTATATAAAAAGCTATTACGATAATTCCCCCACAACCTCTGCTTGGAGAGTAGTTTGGTACGTACGTGCGCAAACACGAATACCTCTCTCACCCCCAGCGACTCTGTAAACAACCGGGTGACGTCACGGGGAATCCCCTCCGTAATCTTTGTAGTGTAGCTCCACCCACCAAAACCCAAAGCGTCAGTGACGCCTCTTCTGATTGGCCACTGGCAGCGATCACCCCGCTTTCGAACGACAACATAACCAACCGTTGCGGGTGAAACAAAAACGTCACGCATGACTTACTGCCCGCAAGAGCAGAGGCCTGGGTACGTTTGCAGCTGAGCGGGAGGAAAATCGTTGTCTTTTGGTGAGAGAAAGTGAGTTTAATTCCACCTTTTCAGCTCCCAATGCACTATTTTAGGAATGCAGATATTGTGTACTCTATTGTCAAGGTTCTTGGTAAACGTGTAGCGACGTTATAGCTGTGGATTTGTAGGCGTACTGACTCAGTTTTCACTCAAAGCAAAATATGGCGTACCATTATAAAAGTACCTAGTCATTTCGTTCCCCATGACTCATGGTTCTTCCGTCCTTTGTTTTTTCAGCCTCCAGGGCTGCGTCGTGGCACGGTTTCCGTTGTTTGGGGAACAACAAGTTGAACAACCCCAAATTTCCAGAGTACGGGAAGCCAGTGATCGTGCCGAAATCGCCGTATCGGGTTCAAGAGCCAAAACCTGGATCAGGACTGGGTATGGGACCGGCCATTGTGTACCTGTGCGTGTGTACCAGTAGTCATTGCCACCCCCTCAACGTCTAGGCCTGTCTAAACAAGTTTACGCTCGACATATCTGGTCAACTGGGACTTGTCAGGGCAAGCAACCGGGATTGGATTGATCAACGTTCTTGACTGAAATTACCGTCTTTTTGCTTGCTGTTGTCAAGCAAAAATATGGCTAGTGCAGATTTCGCAAGCAACAGTACTAGTAGCACTCCTGCCACGAGTACAAATTCCACCCAAAATGCGAACTCGGCCATGTCGAGTGTCGGGCCGGAGAGAGACGATTTCTACCGGCAGAAGTTCGAGGCCGTGAGTCAGATGGTGGTGTCGCTCAGCGAGGAAAACAAGTCCCTGAAAATCCGCCTGAACGGGGTACAGACTCTTCAGACCCTGCTGTCAGAAGCGAGGGAAGAACTAGCTGGCAAGCACCAAGTGATTAGGGACTTGGAAACAAGGGTTGCCGACTTGCAAGCCAAGATAGCGAAGCTTGGAGGCAACAGCGAGGACAAGAGCATACTGCAAGGGGCGATCGTAGTGCCAGGAGTGTCAAAAGAACTTGTGGATAACTTGATCAGAGAAAATGCCAAGTTGAAACAGATGCTCAGAGGTCCACGTGAAAACAGTGGACTTGTGGAGGACAAGACTGACACAGAAAAGGTAATGTCTGTGTTCCTAATATTCAGTTTAGAAAAAAAAAATCACCCAGTTTGGATGTTCTTGCCCTATTCTGCTCCTCCCCTGTGATTGGTTACACCTGTTCAAAGATGCTCATGCTCACAGCCAATCAGTTTTCAGAACAAGGTTTAGCAAAAAATCTCGGGATAACCTACATGTACTGACGGTAATACTAGTACATTGTAGAAGTGAACAGAAAGTTTCACTACCGTAGGCACCAAATGCTTTTAGAATTATACTAACTTTGTAGTGAAATTGACCGTGATAAACTGTTGTTTTGAAATAATTAATTTTTTTGTATAAGTTCCACAAGTTTTCAAGCTCGTTCATGTGCTAACTCTCAAATTGGGAGTCGGTTTTAAACCGACATGTAAGAGTCTAAGACACGTCTTGTTTGTCATTGAGTGACTCACTAGTACTTAGGTGTGGTGTGAGCACTCCCAGTTTTGAGTTCAAAGGGTGGGGCTGTTTAAGTGAGCCCAAATTCTTCTTAAGAAAGCGTGGGTATCAGAATTATCTGGGTACCTGAGTGTGGTTGTTCTTATGTGAAACTTTCGGTGTCAAAAAGAAACTTCCGAGATCGGGGAAAGTGAAACTAAAGGTGAATAGACCTGAAACTAACGACAGTTTCACCCTTTTTGTTTAAAAAATAATAATTTTTGTCCACCAGCCTAAATTCTTCTTAAAAGATTGAACAATTATCTGGGTGTGGTTGTTGTGGTTCATGTGAAAGTTTTTTGTCAAAGAAACCAAGAAAAGAGTGACAACTTAAGATGAATAGACCTGAAAGTAACAACTGTTTCACCTTTTTTTTCATACCAGCCCCAATTTTTTTTTAACAAACAGTTATCTGGGCATGGTTGTTCTTGCTAATCAATCTTGTGTGAAAGTTTTGGTGGCAAAGTTCTTGTGTCAAAGAAACTTGTGAGATCCGGGAAAGTGAAACATTAACTTGATTAAGGTGAATAGACCTGAAACTAACAACCATTTCACCATTTCTTTTGGCAATTTTATTTCTCCACCAGCAATTGCAGATGTGCCAAGAGCAGTACCACAGAGACATGGCCGCGAAGGACCACGAAATCAAAAAGGTACAAGAGATCCTGGCCTCCTCGGACAACGACAAAGACGTGGAGATCGCGCGGCTCCAGAAGGCGCTGAAGGACGCCCGTAACGTGGATCACACCCGGGACGTCCTGTGCCAGTCGCTGACGGAGGAAACTCAGACCCTGAAGGCGCGCCTCGCGGCCACCGCGCAGATGTGTAACGACCTGGCCCACAAACTTGACAGCAAGGAGCGCATGCTGTCACAGGCACAGAACTCCATACAGATGTCTGTGGCTGGACAGTTGGGCAAGGTGATTAATAAGTAGTGATTAATTAGTTAAAACCAGCTAGACTTTGGTTAAAAAATAGGGGAAATAGTTTGCCAGGAGAGTCAGTCTGTGGGAGGGTTAATTTCCCCTAGCCTGGGTACCATCCTGGTTAGTTTACGTCCGCTCCTACAGTCGCTGGTTGGCGGTAGCGACTGTAGGAGCGGACGTAAACTAACCAGGATGGTACCCAGGCTAAATTTCCCCCTCTGCACGGCCAAATAAACTCTACAGCTCCCCTAGTCAATTATTCTCCCAGTGGTCGAAATACTTTTTTCAGTGCTCTGCAATATTGCAGAAGAGTCAAAATTTTGTTCTGCAATTTGGAAATACATTCTGCAAATACACAAGCCTCCATACTACAATCTTGCAAGTTTATAAGCATGAACTATTGATTGATATGCAAATTAGTGAAGACAAATTTTTGGAAGTCCAAAAGGAAACAAAAGATAAACAAGTCAAGACAAGGTTGATGTAAATTAGTGAAGAAGCTCCTGTTGTTTCAGAACAGGAGCTTAAGTGTTGTCTTTCCTTGGGGCCAAAAGCACCAAATCCCAAGTGCCAATTTTTCCTGCTGCAAAATTGCAGATTGTATAAATTTTTCTTCTGCAATCTTGAAAATCTATCTGCAGATTGCAGACTGCAGACAGGTATTTCGAACACTGTCTCCCTATTGGCTAAATTTTTACTTTTTTGCGAACCCACGTTGTTAGTCTGGTGGAGACTTTTTTCAGAATTTTAGACAGACTTTCTGTTAAAACGGCCCGATAGTTATCAATTTGTGGTGCGTCACTGTTGCGCGACATTGGTATTTATTCAAAGTCACATGCTGTTTGTTCCTCGTTGCATGATTGAACCCACAGTTCAAAACTCCAAATTTCAGACTTACACAGCCAACTGGTCAAAATTTGTCCAAATCGGTTTGTTGTGTAAAGGGGAAATGTTTCAGAAGTTCAGATACATTTTTAATGTCTAGAATGTATTTTTATTTTTCGACAGAAAGTTTTTTCCACAAGAAAAATTGAGGTATGGTGTACAACTACAAGTGACCACCTGTACAAAAAGGTCACTTCAGCAACAAATATTTTTTAAACAATAAACACAACAAAATGTGACACTTTTTGATGTTCACTTCAATAATTTTTCCCATTTAGTTTACACAAGCATTAAGAATCCTGTCCATAATACTAGTGACCACCTGTCCACAGACCAGATTTGTACTCTCCAAGCAGAGGTTGAATGGGAAGATTGTGACCTTTTTCTATGCCCCGTTTTTTTCTGACAGCCGGCCCATCCAACTTCGGTGGCCGGTTGGATACTGTCGGCCGGCTGGATACTGCCCGCGTGTTGGATACTATCTTTTTTGGCCACCAAAAGATCTGCTTGGAGATTACAGATTTGATCAGTCCCCTGAGTGGTAGTCTTCTTGTGCCAGTTTTGACTCTATGTTGTTTTATGATAGGGAAATGCTAATGTTTAACAACGCTTTATTGAACCTTTTGTGTATGATGCAACACCGGACTTCTGCCTGGCTTCCTAGATGTCTGCATTGCTTCCACTCCCAACTTGTTTTTCACAAATCGGCCTAAATTTAGCTGGAAATTGAGCACGGGTTTTGCCACGGGTATTTCTAAGGGGGTTCCCCCGGCTGTCAATCACTCAAGGGACACGCCCACTGTCAAGATGGCTGCTTCCTATTGGTTGGTTGAAGGCTGACCTTTGTGCCTGTAATGTAACTCACCTCTGTTGCACACACATGCCATTGTTTCCATTGTTCACGTCTTACACACTTGGTATTTGGCCGAGGGCAAGGGGAAATGTTTCGAAGTTCTGCTATAAACGATTTCTGATCTAATCGAACTTCGTCGTGGGAATTGGCTCGGTATTCCCCCCTACAGTCCATAGCTGCACTTCCCTCTCAATTGTTGACTCAAGAAGTTGTGTTTTTGCGGCCAGTTTGAAGGACACTTACCAGATGTCGGCCTTTACACTGGAGCTTAGTGCAAATTGACTCATGGGGAATGACATAACAAGTCAGACATGTAGGTGTGGGTTCAAGCATTGCTGTTGACTAGTACATGCTTGGAGCGCATTAACTACACCATACCAGTATAGCCTCCATAGCATGCCAAAAACTGGGGGTTTTCGGGGTCTTCATCCTCTTTGGGAGCTTTTATGTGCTATTTTCTGATTGCATATAGACAACATAGCCAGCCTGGTTGAATTACCCCCGTTTTTAGAACTGGGCTGATCAGAAAACAGCCAAAGACCACCAAACCCCTCTATCCCAGTTCTATAAGCTACGGAGGCTAATACCAGTGTGATTGTTCGGGTAAGAAAAGATATGCCAAGTGATCTGTGGAAAATGATATAAGTTTATGCAGTCATAAAGAGTAGCACATGAAGTGTGCTGCCATTTTCTTTAATCTTTCTCCTTTTCTGTATTTTTTGGGGGGCATACTGTACATGAATGCTGAATTACCGATAATGTTTGTATTCCAACCAAAAATTTCAAGAGCTGTAGAGTCTTACTGTTTCTAGAAGAGCTTATCAAGGGAACTAAAGTGCCTCTAAAATGAAGTCAGTATCTTGAGCAGTTGCAGAGATATGACCCCACAAAGATTCAACATTTAGTAAAATCTGTGTCGATTCGTTTCTTCTTATAACTCAAACAATTTTCACAGAGAATTACAGATATAACCTCTATCTGTATAGCGGTGCAGTATAACTGCCCTTTGGCATAACACACCAGCTTCTGTATCTGTATAGCCGGTATAACCGCCCTTCGGCGTAACACACCAGCTTCTGTTCTTTATAGCCGGCTTAACCGCCCTTCGGCGTAACACACCAGCTTCTGTATCTGTATAGCCAGTATAACCGCCCTTCAGCGTAACACACCAGGTTCTGTATCTTTATAGCCGGTATAACTGCCCTTTGGCGCAACACACCAGCTTCTGTATCTGTATAGCCGGTATAACTGCCCTTTGGCGCAACACACCAGCTTCTGTATCTGTAAAGCCGGTATAACTGTCCTTTGGCATAACACACCTGCCGAATTACTGGTGTAATTCGGCAGGTGTGTTATGCCGAATAACACACCTGCCAAATGTATTACGATGTTATGATGACGACAATGTGGATGATTATTTGCAGGTGTCGCTCGGTGAGGGGTCCAGCACCGATGCCCAGAACAGGGCAATCCTGCAGCTGGAACAGGAAGTCAACAAGCTCAACACACAGCTCCGAGAGGTAGGAGCAGTGGTTTCCATGGTGAAGAATAGACCAATCAGCAGACTCTAAATGACAATTACATACTTTTGAACTCTTTCATTATCTGTTAAGTTACAACTGACACCACTTCAAAAGGGTTTGAAAGTCAGTTATTTTTCCCGTAGTTTTCCCGGTTCGTTTGGCTCAGAACCAAGGGGTCCCAGGTTCGATCCCCTGACGTGCAGTTGGAAAAAGCACTTCATACACCTTCCCTCACGGTGGAGTGATGCCCACCAGGCCTTTTGGCTAATCTTTGATACTGTGTCCAAACACTGATTAGGACATGGCCAGATTTGGTGTCGCCCACGTGCCAAAATCTGCACATTTGCCACTAAGAACCGTACAATATTTTTTCCTGGTTGGGTGCAGCATTGGTGCTTGAAATCCTGTGGTACGAAATTTATTTTCTTTCTGCAGGTTGTTGACATGAACACACGATGGCAGGCGTACAACGACCAGAGAGAGAACTACGTCATCACGTTACAGGGGAAAGTCACGGAGCATTCACAACTGGCAGATAAACTACAAAGGGACAACAGACAATTGCAGGTGAGAACATGGAAAAACCTGCACTTTCATAACATGTTTGCTTTATGCTTTACAACTGGAGTTGTAAACATTGTACATTGGAAGATGAGAAAGAAAGTTTTGCTACCAATATTTAGTTCTTGATAGGACATACGATATGGTTCAGTATTCTTAAGAGTTCAAACAAGAAAACATTTCATAAAGTTTGTTGCTTCCAGGATAGAAGTATTGTTTTTTGCAGAGCAGCTTGAATACTAGAAGTATATACCCTGGGCAGTAGGATGTGGTATGAAGTCACCAGGATTGTGTGCTATGTAATCATGGTATGAAACTTGATCATAAACCATACATGAATACTTCCCAGAAGTCTGAAGTCTCTAGTTTCTTGTTGTTTTCTTTTGAAAGGCCCGGATTGAAGAGCTACAGAACATGCCTCAGTCAGCGAGCGGCGGCGGGCTGTCGGAGGAACAACAGCGTTACTATGACAACCTGCTCCTCACGGCGAAGAAGAACCTCGAGGAGCAAAGGGAGGAAACTGAGGAGGTACGGGATTAAGAACTTCTAATTAAGAACTTCTTATTAAGAACTTCTTACGTTGTCCTGCGGAGCACAACAATTGTTGTTCTGCACATGCAGTACCATCTATATAACACCCTGTATAGGTACGATATGGGGGTATTTCTCGTGCAACGCCTACACTGCAGCGAAGCGCAACAAATGCGGAAGTAACTATGCCACTGCAGGGCAAAAAAATTGGGGGTTTATGATCTAATTAAGACATGAAAATATTGAAAAATATTGTGCCAGGAATGCCAACAGGACAAGGGTTAAGAAGTACTTAAGAGTACAGAGTAGAGTTTTGATAGTTAGCTTTTAACTGCAACTTTGAAAAGGAGACTTCTTAACTGTTACTTCAGCACATAAGAAATTGTCCAGCAATTCTCCTTACAAAAAAAGCTAACTGGAATGTTATTATCATGGAAGTTCATCTGTGTTGGTAGTAATCATAGTAAAACGTTGAACTTTTTCTAACACACAATTACACAGAGATCAAATTTCCAGGAGATCACGCTGTGAAGTGATTGGTCATTATTTATCCCGATGAAGGCGACAGTGGTCGCTGAAACTTTTATCTGTGTGTAATTGTGTGTTGGAAAAGATCAACGCTTTACTATAACTGAAATGTTATTGAAAGCTTGGAGTTGTAAACATGCAGATGGCAAAAACACCTGGTACAGTTTTCTCAGCTGTTGAATTGACCTGTTATGTCCCATACGTCCTTGGCAGCTGTCCAACTACCGGTATCAAAGTTTGAAAGTCCAACTTCAACTGCAGTAAACAACTTTTCAAGATCCGGTTTCGTCTGGACGTCCCTGTAATAAACACTTTATGATTCTTATAGAACTTTTACTTTTTTTGGTGGAGTTATCCAATTGGGTGTTCATTGAAAATTATTCATTCAGCTTTGAAACAATCACATATTGATACATAGTAATCATTTTGACAAGTTACATGATAAAAAAGCAATGTACAACAAGCTAGGCGTAATTTAGCCCATTGCCACAATCTTCTTCTTTGTTTTATGAATAAACCATTTGATACATGCTATACATGATTTGGGCTCCTTTTTCCCAGCGAACGCAGGTCTAGAACAAGCTGAAGTGAATGCCTGACTCTGGAGGACTTAAAAGAGAATCGCCCACAACCGCCCAGTATATGGCGCAGGACGATGTGCAGACGGACGAATGACTTTGACGCAGTACAACAAGTTCATACATGATACGTGATGTGGGCCTTTTTTCCCCGCAAACACAGGTCCAGAACAAGCTGGTCCGTATGACGGAGAGATACGAGATGGAGAAGGAGAAGACGGAACAGATGGAGAGGAGGATGGAGGCCATGGAGGCTGAGCATGCTCAGTGCAAACAGAGCCAGAACCAGGAGGAGATTGTGGACATGTTAAAGCAACAGGTACGCTTGTTTTTTTATTCAGGAAGCTCCCATTAGTGATAATACATCGCTATTCTTCCTGGAGTCCTTTACATAAGATACAGCATTACATCAACTATTATTTACATACACTTTTAACTACTTTCAAGAAATCTGGTCTTATCAACATTTGACATATGATAATGATAATACAATAAACATCATTTGTAAGGGTGGGGAATGAATGAACGTGTGTGTGAGTGAGTGAGTGAGTGTGTGTGTGAGTGTGAGTAAGTGTGTGAGTGTGAGTAAGTGTGTGAGAGAGTGACTGAGTGAGTGAGTGGATGGATGGATGAACCATTGAACAAATGAATGAATGAGTATCCATCAACGAATGAGTGTGTGAATAAGTGAAAGAATGGGAAACGAAGGAAAGAATGAAAAAGATAAAAAAGAATTAGGAAAGAAATGGAAATTTGCAAGATGTTTCACGCACTTGTATTATTTTCTAATCATCATCTCATCAATTTATTCATGGCAAGACCCAGAAAGTCTTCATACTTTTGTTGTGAAAAAAATGTCCTATGTAATATGAACAGAGGAAATATTTCCTGTTGTTACAGCTCCAGGCGTACAAACAAGCTTACATATACAGAGGAAAGAACGAAAAACATATGAAAGAAAGGAAAAAAATGTACTGTAATTCCTGATTTGTTCACTGTACTGATAAGTTCACTGTTTTCACTGTCACTTCCGTACAGTGAACTTATCATTACAGTTAACAAATAATTCCTGGACTCTCTTTTTCCTGCACCTGTCACCACCGTGAACATATAGTTACGTGAACATGTCCATTTTTCTCAGACCGTGAAATTTTGCTACCGTGAAAATAAAGTGAATTACAGTATATACATCTGTGCAGAAGACTGTACGAAAGTCCCAGCACTTTTGTGTTGTGTAAAAAAGTCTTATATAATTTGAACAAAGGAAATATTTTCCTGTTGTTACAGCTCCAGGCGTACAAAGAGGATTTTGAGGAGGAGCGACGTGACCGTGAGCGAATGCAGGCGCGGCAGGAGACCGTGGAACAGGACCTGGCCACGGCGAAGGCAACAGTCAGGCAGCTGGAGGCACAGGTGAGCAGTCTGAACCATTCTCTCTCTCTCTTCTGGGCTCAAAATAACCTTGGTGCACCCAAATTTGGAACTGTGCACCCAATTTTTTCTATGGGTGCGCCCAAATATTTTTGTAGGTTTACGTATGGTAAGTATACAACATATTCTTAACATCCAAGTGTCAGAAAAGTAATAAAATCATTGCTATAGTATGTTTCTTTAGAAATGAAACATAATTAGTTTTTGCTGACATTCTGCTTATTCTATCTTATATGGTGCACCCCAAAAGATTTTTGTGCACCCATTTTTTTTAGGTTGGGTGCACCAGTGCACCTATTCCCACAAATGAATTTCAAGCCCTGCTCTTCCACTGCGTGCGTCCTGCACTCGCAGTTGTAGAAACTTCCCGCAGCTGCATTCAGTCTTTCTTTATCTTCTTCCACTGTGTCTTCTGCCCCGCATGCTCCCTTAAGCTCTTGGACTTTCCTTTCTGTTGTAGAATCATTACCTGAACAAAACTTGAGAAAAGAACACAGACAACAGAAATGAAATGCTTTCAGAAGATTCTAGGGATCACATACAGAGACCACATCCCAAATACTGAAGAGAGCTGTACATGTATAGCAAGTCTTTTTGGACTTAAAGTTTGCATAGATTAGCGCCAAGCTTGCAAAAATTAGCTCTGCTTAAATCAGATTCAGACAGAACCTATCCTGGCACAGCAATTTTTGTACCTTATTGTTTACAAATATTATATATCCCTAGGTTGCTCTAAAAGTTTGAAAAAAATTTTCTTTTTACTTTTTTTCAGCTTCATAGAGAGAAGAACCAAAAACAGTTCCCTGTCTACCATGTTCAGTATGACCAACAGGTAAATGAGTTAGATATATTCTTCTCTCTAGTTTGAAGCTAGACCAGTATTTTTTTTTTATTCAGGCTTTTTATAAATGGTAGCTTTCATAGTGTTCTACATTTGTGTTACAAACAATTCTGTAGTACAGTAGTCATACAAGGAAGACTTGCATTCACAGTGGAGAGGTCACCAAGAAAACTGCAAAAACATCACATAAATTTATGGGCCTGTACCTAAACCTCTGTTCTGGTGCCTGATTCTGAACCGTTTATGTACACAGCCCTAGTACACAGGAAGACGTATGTTTAAAGTTATATCTTTTGGTCCCACACAAAAAATCCTCTCACCTAGAGCTTTCGACCAGTCACTCTGGTCTTCCTCAGTAGACTGACCCAGTGAGGCTTGTCACATGGCTTCTTTGAAGTGTGACGTCAACACTGGGTCAAAGGTATCTGGTAGACAATGTCACTGGTTGAAAGCTCTAGGTGAGAGAACTTTTTGTGTTGGATCTAAAGTTTCAACTCTAAACATGTGGCTACAACACAGATGAACTTTCATGATAGGAAGACTTATGTTTTGTTGCCTTTTTTTGCACACACAGAACGCCCTCCGAGCGCGGTCGGCCAACAGGCACACGCCGTACGCCGTGGGAAACCGCTTCAACTACGGCTTCGACGTGGTGGACGGGGAGGTCGTGGCGGACGGTCCGACGGAAAACGACGAGGGAAAGGCAGAACCGCCGCGGGAAGAGAGGCGGCGCTCGCGGAGAAGAGAGACGGACATCCTGCAGTGCCCCAAGTGTAAGAGGGAGTACACTAAGGACAGGCATAACGAACTGTTGGAGCATATCGACCTCTGCTACGACTAAAAGTTATTGGTAAAAGTGTAAGTGAAACCAAGCAAAAATTCTACGCTGTTCATGAGTTGTTGGATAGTTTAGAGCACATCCACCCGTGCTACATTTTACAACTTAAGTTTTCTCCCGCTTTTTTACCACTACATGTACTTGAAAATGAATTGGTGAAAGTGCAAGTGTAAGAGGGAGTACACAAAGGACAGGCATAACGAAGTTTTCTTCTTCTTCTTCTACGTTAGAGAAGCAAAGACTCTGGTAGATACCGAGGTCCGTCCCCCTCCAATAAGTCCAGTAAAGACAAAAGTTTTCAGCAAGGAGGTTAAAAATCTTCTTGTTTTCACTAAATTAAATGCACTTTTACCAAGACTTGAAAATGAATTGGTAAAAGTGCAAGAGAAAACTCTTAACCAAACAAAAAGAAAAACTTTCCACTGTTCATGAACTATTGGAGCATGTCCATCTGTGCTACAAGTTACAACTAAAGTTTTCACTTGAACTTCTATTAGTACATGTACTTGAAAACAAGTTCTTGGTAATAGTGCAAGTGAAAACTTTCTACCTTGAAATATATGGGACTATCATACAATTTGTTCCACGGGAAAGGGGAATGTTCATTTTGGAAGGATGATCTAGAAACACTATGATAATCATACTCATAGAGTATATCCGCCAGGAACAAACATGTTATACATGTACTTACCAATTTGCCTTGTGACATGTATCTATGTTTTCATCTGTATATTTTCAATCATTTCATTTAGCCAGTATCATATATTATCAAGATGTTACAGACTTTATTGACATTGATATCTGGCTGTGTCCTATAATGTTCTTTGGAGTTGAAGACAATGAAATAGTTAATAGCTGAGCTGTCGGGCCTTTTGAACATCAAATAGTTGGAGAAAGTTAAATTTGATTTTGTAGTGGTCACATATGTCATGTGCATATGATCATCGTGCAATCGCAAACTTCCGACATTCTTGAATAGTTTTGCCTGTGCCCTGCAAAATTCAGCTTTCATGTTACACAAAAAGGTGGTCTTAGGTACTTGTTGGCATTTTTTTCTGTCATGGCCTGCTTGAAAATTGTATGGCGGCCTACAATGATTGTGACCGCCCAGTTAGGGATACGTGTATACAATTCTTACAGAGTAAAGAGACTCTTTTTACACAACCAAGACCAAGACTTGGTTGTGTAAAAAGAGTTTCTTTACTCAGTATTTTGCCAACCTGATGAAACTTTTCACGGTTACAATTCTTACAGTTCACCCAAAATGTGAGCTAACATAGAGACAACAAGACAAAAAGTTGCCGTAGTCACTAGTGTATACGATGGCTGTGACTGCCCTGTTAGGGATACATGTATATTTTCTTACAATTCTTACAGCTCCCCCGAAAGGAGAGACAACAAGTACGTGTAAAAAGTTTTACCGGAACTTGAAGAGCCGTGTTGACATAGTTAATGTACATGGTAGAATGTCAACTGTGAGTAGCAGATGAATGCCTGTAAATAGCAACCTGATACATGTATATACAGTGAATTGTATGCTAGTAGTACATGTACATGTAAATGCAGAAAAGAGATTGAAACAGCAAAATTTCAACAGTAAACAAGTGCTTGCATTTCTACCAATAGACAAGCCAAGCACACAAGGTTTTCTATGTATGGCCACACCAAGTAAATTTTATGGATGACGTCCTTTGGAGACTCCAAATCTAATGCGAGAGGGCGAAAAAAAAACAAGAAGGGCCCAAAAAAACAAGATGCCTAGATTAGAAATATACTAAGAGACAACAGATGTTAGGACACAAATTGAATGAGGTGACACAGTGTAACAAGCAAGAAGTCTTTTATTCATCATCAAAACAGCAATAAATCAGGTGGAACGGCAGTTGTCGTCCTGTCACATTTTTGCAGGCCTGCAGAAACAAAGCATAAAAGGCAAAATTAGTTGCTGATTAACCCTTTGCATGCATTACTGCATTTCTACCTATGCAAATAGTCTATAGGAGCTTTTGAGAAAGAATATCAATAAAGGTGGAACCAAACAAAATATGTTTAGAGCTATTCTACAT